AGAATAGCAGTCGTATTATCGACTGTTCTACTGTTCAGGTGCTTCTTCACGATACTGCTACCACTTCTGTTCATGTTTCGTTTAGTGTAGTGAGATGATGAAATCTGATGGGAAATCACAAAACAAAAAACTTTGTGACATTCGCGCCATATCCTCCGTCTCACGCATGTGTCGGTTGGAGCATAGACCACTACAATCGTATAGACATACAGACAGTATATATTTTTATATACTTTTCCGCGAGTGACTAAAAGCTTCGCTATAAGCCAAACAAGCTCGACCCTTGAGCCGATGGACCATATCGTATTGAACGAGTCCACTCTAATGGTACCCTTACCATTCAACTTGCTCCTCATGTAATTGAACGCGTCTCCTCACGACGAGTCAAACCTTACCAACGATGAAGTGGTTTCATCCTACTTGCAAGGTTCCCTTCTATCTCCCGCGTCGGGTCCTCTGGAATCTAGAGGATAAGCTTGGGTGGCAGAATGTCGTGGCTCACATTAGTCCACTAGTCCAACTAGTCGAATCATATCAGTCGAATGAACATTGATTACTCTGATATGAGTACTTCTACAAACGCCCCCTTACTCAGCATGCCCACAGTAGTCTTGTCAAAAGCAATCTTGCCAAATGTCTAGTACATCTATTATCTATGCTACAAGCCAACAGTGATGTGGCAATGAGGTGGCGACAGTCTGACAAATACATCTTATCAAGACTGCAGTAGAAGTTGTGTGTCTCCAGTACACACCTTCTCTTCTGATGTCAGTATGGCTATTGCGTTCTGCCCAGGGAAGTAGATCTCCATTAAGCTCATAATATCTCTTTAGCAATCTTTCAATCGCTACTGTGCCTAAGTTAGTCCTCAGCCTTTTGTGGGACACGGCAACACGCTACATCAATTTGTCGTATTCATACGGTAATGGAGATGTAAATTTCTCCTTCAGACCTAGGATCTACCAAGCTGTTCGCAAGCTAAAATTCATCAACTATTTGAACTACGCTGAGATCCAAACAAAAAATCAACAATGAGGAAGAAATCAAGGATATCCATATGGAACTCTTTGCAGTGAGAAGAAAAAACAGAAAGTAGTAGCCTAGCTTAGTAGTAATCTGTTATATAGTGATGCTTATTGCTCGTAATAGTTCTGATGTGTCCAAAGCCTGACAACATCAATAAACAAGAAATCAACAAAACGATAATACCACAAATGAGATCTTGAGCAGAAATCAGGTAGCTTGACTTGGGAAGAGCAGTTCCGAGGGACCCCAAGTTGGCATATGGTATGGAAGGAAATACGAAAGGCCACTCATCTTGGACAAAGACATTCTTTCTTGTAGCGCATTGTTGTCGGCTTTGTGCTTGCCATTGAAAGACGAAGACATTGCATGTTTGCTTGCAGTGGATTGTCGTTTTTGCTTGCTGTCGAAAGCAGTGAACCGTCGTCACTGGCGTTGTTGTCATGTAGTGATGTCCAAGGTGCTCCATGCTGACATACTAAGCAAGAACAACGCTCCAAAACAAGACATCGGATCCTAGACTGTCAAAGCAAGCCGTCCAGTATCTCTGGCACATCAGGTTCTGGCATTCCCTTTCAGGAGGGGCGACCAATACGTTTCTGTACCATTACAATACATTTGGAAGGTGTAGCATTGTCGCAACATTGTCTGCCGGAAATCAAGCAAGGAGTTGTGGTTTTCTTACAACAGTTTGGGCGATCTCTACTGAGATACGAGAGTCAACGGGTGCATAGCACTGGAAATACTCAGCCCTAATGAAGCAAGGAGGTTTCAACGGGTGCATTGCACTGGAAGCACTCAGCACTCATCTCTGCAGTAATGAACAAAGAGGGGTAGTTGCCATTTTCGAATTTGTCTGCAAGTGCAACCAGGTACAGGGGGTGGGACCTCTTCAAACGCATGATGGGACCTCTGCAGGGGTGACAGAAATGAATGAATATAGATGAATAGACTTAAAGCCTATAGTGCGACTGCTATTTCACAAGAAGATAAAGATCAATTCAGGTAAAACAACGTGCAGTGAGAAAAGCGATTGTTGATCACTTTTCCACGCAAAAGGCGAGTTCTTGTTCCTCCACTTCGCTCCAAACTTCTTCTCACATTCGGCTATCCCTCCAGAAATTGGAACCTCTTCAAATTGACCAAGACCAAACCATTCGTCATAGATACTTCGTATATTGTCGTGTGTGCTTATGAGTCGATGATGAATCCGATTGATTCGTGGCTCATTGTTGGCAGTACTAGTTGCAGCGTTCGTAGCAACATTAAAAATATTTGTAGCTGGATGTGGATTGTCCCAAGGCGGAGGACTTTTGAAAGCCAAAGCGGCTCTCATCAATGCACGTCCTATAAGAGCCTCAAAATCCTCCAACTGTGGCAGAGCATTGACCCGCTGTACCAATCCTGGCAAAACACTGACCTGCTGTGCGATTTGTCGCGTTGCCTCCTCGTGAGACGTCATTCTGGCGTGGACCCCAGGAAGGGCCGCCTGGATATTGTAGTCCATTGGGGCCTGTGCTGCACCCAATTGAGACCTCATCTCTGCAGTGTAAGCCTGAAAAACCGTGTTAGAAAAATGATGAACACGAATCTGCAAAGCGACAATCAACATACAATAGACTCTGGAGTCCGGAAGATGTCAGAAAAGGAATTGAACATGGCATGGGATCGTCTCACTGGATGCAATGCAATAATTGCCGCGGCATCCTGGAGGATGATCGTTCTTAGCCTGACCAGCATCTCCAAAAAGCACTTTGCAGAACCCAAATAGACACCTGATTTGTCGCGTCCATCCTCCCCTTGAATCGCGGCATTCACTCGTGCCAGCTGTTCGTCCACAAACGGAAAGATCTTGTTGAGTAACTCCTGTGGAGGATTGACTTGACTTCTTGGGCAAAAAAACACCCCATCGCCGTCAATAAAATCAGCGGCCGCCCTCATTGCCGCAGTCGGCATCTTATTGCTATAGGCGAGATGTTGACAGTAAAGTCTGGACAATTAGACTAGTCAAACTCTTTGGTAAGTTGGAAACGGCTCATGAGATAGAATCCAAGCGCTCCAAGGGGCATAACAAAACATCTTTGGCACGCATGGCTTGCCCATACAGTTTATTAAAACGATTTGTCTTCCTGTCCAAAATTGTCATAATGAGAGCATCCCATGCGTGTGGATCTTTGTGTTCATTTCTGTGTGTAATGTGCGGAAGCAGTCTGACAATTCCACGGAAAAAATAGATTCACCGCGTAGAATCCCCATTGTGCTAAATAAAAACGTGAAGCGGTGTCTTGGCGGACAAATAGTTAATAAGATTCTCCATTTTCAAAATATATATGGTGCCAAACGATTATACGCGATATTTACCTGATTGAAGGCAGTGCAGCTCTCAAGTTAGATGCATCTTGTCCTTGTTCCCACATTGCCTCCTTGAGGACAGTGTCTTTGTTTGCTCCTTTGAAAAAAGTGAAGGAGGTGTCCATTTTTTCTTCATAGTTCTGTCTGGCAATTACTTTCCTCCGACTCTTGACATGCCGGATCAAGCTCTTACAGTTAGGTTGCCAGATTTGGTCCCACACTAGGCTTGTCGATTGGGAATTCTGTTGCTCTCGGAAAATGTTCCAAATGGCAGATTTGTAAGTGTTCATGACCAAGGCATCCACTGGGTAGCTCGGGGAACGAGTCACCACTGGAGATACCAGCATATTTTTCCTTTATCTCCAGGTATTCTGCATGGTCGAAACGGGTGTCTTCATTGCGCTTCCTCTTACCAGCTTTCTTCGTTGGACGGAAAACTTGATACCACAAGAAGTCAAACACTTTCTCATTTGTAACTAAATGAACTTCATATGGAGAAACATTCGGCTCACCATGAACTATACTACCGTATTCCTGAAACTCTCGAATTTTGTTCGTGTATTCCTTTTTTGTGTTCTCCTTCTGCATGCCTTCACTATAGTGACCAATGAGATCATTTTGCCTGCGGAGACTCTGGTTAAACTCATGATCCCCAAGGTGCTGAGCTAGTGTTGACCCTGTACCATGAGATCGACGACGATACTGATAGGACATGTTGAAAAAGTATAGAAGTCGAGATCAGAACATAAGTAACAATGCTATAGCTTTCCCCCAAAGTGGAATCCTGGCGCGAAGGCACTGATGTTGTTGACTGCTAGTTCTTTCATCCGTTTGTCCCTATGTAAGTGACGTGTTGAGCCATGAATAATGGCCGTTATTGATTGGCTCAACCTGTAAATAACGCGCATTATCTCACGCTCAATTATTGTCCTGCGCTATCCAAGACAGTCTCGATCTATCCCGACTAAAAATAATCAGGAAGATCCAGTTCTACCGGTAGATTGGATGGTCCTGGATCATCAAATATAAAGAATAAGCAAACTAAAAACATTCTATACCAGCCACTTGCAATCTGATACGCAAACCTGCTTTTCCAGAATGGACGCAACCTAACCAAACCACCTCAGCTCCAGTTGAACAAGTTCTGGCCTTCCTAGAGAATGTGACAGTATATTGGCAAACCGGAATGACTAGCGTTACATGGTGATGGAGATGTATAATAGTAGAACGTATTGTTCAAGCTTCTAGCTTGATTCTCTATTGACTATAATTTTTGTCTTCAACAGTAGTATCCAGTTTGAGTGTCGTCTTGTCATTGTTCAAGTCAAGTCACTGTCTCCGCATTGGCAGAATCAAGCCCTCATTTCTATTCTATTCTCTCGTCAGAATTTTTTTTCACAAAGAACTCTGCAAGCGTCTTTCTGTACGATAGTAGACAGCTTCGTTCAAAACACTGGCCTGGAGAAGAAAAAAATTGGCCACAACGGAGCCCAGCCGGGATTCTGCGTTTGTTGTCGTTTTTGAATCTTTCCCAACAAATGTTGATTATTGTGTCTTCGAACTTTGCATACACATGTGTATATTTGCAATGAAACTGAGCCTTGCGTTCGCCCTTTACGTTTCTACCCAAACAACAAGCCGATTGATTTTTCAGGTCCAGATAATCAGCAAATTGCACAGGTTCGTTGTCGCAAGCCTCACAGAAGTGTATACTTCACTAGAATCGCAGCGATAATCTCAACTAGTAGATTTGACTGCTCTCTCATGCCTTGTTTGACCTTTCCAGGATGATGTCGATTCAATCACAAGATGATGCAATCAAGTTGTTAAAACCACTTTCCAACAAGCGCGAAGTTGGGGGGTGGTTGCACTTCTATCGATCCGTAGGACCTCTCGATCGATTGCATGTCTCTCATAACAAAAAGTTTGACTCCGAATCCAAATGCTGGCGTATTGTCGCAGCTCGCGTGAAGCTGATGATTCATTCTCCGCTTGTTGTGCCGCTTGTTGCAATGAAGTCTGCCGTTCTCGCTTCAGGCGCCTGCCATGTCGTCATTTTTATCTCACTAGGTCGCAACTGTTATGGTGCTGCTTGCTTGTTTTGCGGTTCCTTGGCTTTTGTCTGCAAGCTTGAAGTTGATGTGATGTCGATGCAAAACAATGACACATCTTACAAAATGACACATCTTACAAAATGCTTCAGACCAGTGCAGCTCACGACAAAAGAGCTAGCGACATATCCGGGTTAGAAGTGCTTTATTTTTGATTTTCAAAAACTCATGGTCTGCCCTCCGTCATATTCATATCTCACGATATACACGTAGAGGTGGTACGAAAAACACGGCGGTTTTCAAAAATACCCAACCCCATTTATGAAATATGAGCCATTATCGGCACGTATCGGATAAATGGGGTTTGCAAATCAGCTCACGACTACCAGCTTCTACGTACGTGTACATGTCGTTAGCTCGAACCAAATCCGGGCTATTTTCTTTCAAAAAGCAAATCAAAATATATGAGGGGAGAGTTTCATGTAATGACCTTGGAGTGACTTTGGAACTAGATTAGACCTAACTCTCACGTCACTCCTTTCTGTGGCTTTCTGAGAGACTCTATAACTTCTGTTGTGACCCATTCCTATCTCTTCTTCTAGGCTGGTTCATTATTCGAATAGCCATAAGGCTTAGATTGAAGACTACAAGAGTATACTCACACACACAAGCAATCGCCGTTTGATTTGATCAATCCTTTCAGATTTTCACCAGTTTCACACTACGCAACAAACAGTCAAAACTACTATGCTGAGTCGCACTACAATCAAAAAGCTGAAAGCTTTGCTGCGGAATGCAGCGTTCCGGAATGGAACCAAGACGGAATGTCTTATGGCGGAATGCCAAGTGCCGAGCAGTACCAGCATCAGGGACAATATTATCAAGCTGAAAAGAAAATCAACAATGGAACGATCATTTCAACTTTGAACAGGAAAAATATTCTCCTGAAGAGCAGGAGGCGCAAGAATGGGCGTCGCCAACTTTCATCATTCCAAAGAAGGACAGTAGGGTGCGATAGATCAGCAATCTCAGACAGCTGAAAAAAACTGTCATGCGTAAAGTATACCCCCCTTGCCTTTGATTGATGATATTGTTGCGCGTCGTTCTGGCTACAAAAAATTCACAAAACTTGAACTCACAATGATGTATTATTATTTTATATGATGTATTATTCTTTGAAGACGCGATTGCCGACTGCTTCTCTCAGCTTCCGCGAACGGAGAAGCCGTCTGAAGGGAAGAGTCCAAATAAGGCAAAAGAGACAGTACAAGATCAATGAAAACTTGAAAAGAATTTGAACGCAAAGCGAAAAGAATTTGATTACAGAATTGCACACAGATGCGATCCGTGAAAGGATCAACATTGGACGGCTTATGCCGTTTTGTCAAGTCTAATGGACGATATACTTGCATCGCCCATTGCGTCAAGAACCACCTCTGAAGTTGAATGGAGGATCAAGTGGATGTAAGGACGCCTTGTGACTTTAGTGTATGATCAATCGACTGGCTCTGATCATAGAAGGGAAGAGTGTAATGACCTTGGAGTGACTTTGGAACTAGATTAGACCTAACTCTCACGTCACTCCTTTCTGTGGCTTTCTGAGAGACTCTATAACTTCTGTTGTGACCCATTCCTATCTCTTCTTCTAGGCTGGTTCATTTCAGGGGATATGAGAGACTCGCGAAACACCAGTGCTTAAAATAATAATATCTTGTTATTAGCCCTCATATATATCCAGGAATGTCGGGGGGTCCGTACATTTCCACGGCGCCTACGGCGCACGGGATGCGCGTCCTGTCCTCATCTATCCGCGAGTTTGAACACTCAATAACGCCATGGGGATATCCTGGTACTGCTGCGTACGTCCTCTACGGCGGGTGGAGTCAGGCGGGGTATCCAAAGAACAAGAGGGGATTGCACGTTCATACTTCTTGAAAACACAAAACGTGGATTCTAATAGATAATAATATAAACTAATAGGACATGTAAGTATTTTCGTTCTGCAACTGGATCTCCTTCCGCGATTTGCACTCTTCGGTACAAAATTCTTGTCTTGCAACCATGGAAGAAACTTGAGAAGGTTCTTTCCACAATCGTTAATGTAGACCTCGTCCCACTCACAACATACGTCGGTAAGATCCTTCCCTCTATCGACCTCCTTCTGCACTGCGATGCAAACCCTTTTCTGCCTTGAAATCCGATTCGGCGAGTTCTTGTTCCTCCACTTCGCTCCAAACTTCTTCTCACATTCGGCTATCCCTCCAGAAATTGGAACCTCTTCAAATTGACCAAGACCAAACCATTCGTCATAGATACTTCGTATATTGTCGTGTGTGCTTATGAGTCGATGATGAATCCGATTGATTCGTGGCTCATTGTTGGCAGTACTAGTTGCAGCGTTCGTAGCAACATTAAAAATATTTGTAGCTGGATGTGGATTGTCCCAAGGCGGAGGACTTTTGAAAGCCAAAGCGGCTCTCATCAATGCACGTCCTATAAGAGCCTCAAAATCCTCCAACTGTGGCAGAGCATTGACCCGCTGTACCAATCCTGGCAAAACACTGACCTGCTGTGCGATTTGTCGCGTTGCCTCCTCGTGAGACGTCATTCTGGCGTGGACCCCAGGAAGGGCCGCCTGGATATTGTAGTCCATTGGGGCCTGTGCTGCACCCAATTGAGACCTCATCTCTGCAGTGTAAGCCTGAAAAACCGTGTTAGAAAAATGATGAACACGAATCTGCAAAGCGACAATCAACATACAATAAACTCTGGAGTCCGGAAGATGTCAGAAAAGGAATTGAATAAGTGGACTCAAATCTTTTGGTATCCTTTTGGTATTGGGGTTCCCCTCCCCAAATCAATGATGACCTTGTACTCGGCAAGCTGATCCATCTTGACTTTAGTGGCATCCTGCCATTTGGTGTTGCCGTGGAGTTTTGTCAAGTCGAAGGGCATCTTTGTAGTCCTTCGGGATCTCGAATCCGTACATGTATCTTGGTGCTGCACGGAACGATCTGAGCTTGGCTTGGTTAATAAGGCGAAGAAGTTTCTTCTCCTTCTTTGCTATACTTCTAAAGCGTTTCCAACCAGGTAAACCCAGTAGATTGTTCTCTCTAGCGTATATAGCACATGCCACTGGGTCATCGGCTCCAATGATGCTCAGTGGTTTGGGAGTGATCTCCCCATTCTCCCATTCAATGGTTACGTTGTAGGTCGAACCCATGTAGGATGGATGG